AAAATAGTGTGCAACACCACTGAAGTTGTTTTTTTTTAAACTCTCTTTTCAACCAACGGCAGTCACTCTCCTCTCCAAATAACTTCTGCTTAGCTTTCCGAGCTTCCCTCGGGTCCTCTTAATCAGCGGTCTCCAACCTTTTTTGCGCCACGGACGGTTTATGCCCGACAATATTTACACGGACCGGCCTTTAAGGTGTCGCGGATAAACAAGGGAGGGGCTAATAATCGGCTCAGTCATTTTTAATGATCGTTGAAAGCCCAGATCGTAATCGTGATTAAAATTCGATTAATTGAGCAGCCCTATGGGTTATATCTATCAAGAACCAGTGGTATGTGTGAGATTTGGACCCAAAAGTACACTCAATACATGCTGAACTATTTACAAGATTTATTTACAAAATGTGAACTCAAAAACTAGAATATGACTTAAAATGTTAATGGGGAACCTAGAGCGGAAGAAGGCTGTAGCCAGAGAATGAACACGTTGAGAGCAATGAGAACAGGAGAGAGAGGTTACTGAGCAGGACAGCGAGAGAGTGGCCAGAGGTGAGCATGGATTGACATGGAATGGGCCGTGAGGGTGTGCTGTGGGGCAAGCACAGTGACAGGACAGGGTTAAGTTCCTGGGAGTCAAGAGGAGGAATCCAGGAGAGTCACGATGGGCAGGAGGGCAGGCAGGTGAGCAGCGTGAGTATGGAACCTTTGGTTTGTGCACTGACTGTAGTGTTGGAAGTGACCAGAACCAGTGCTGGAGAGAAAGCACGGCAGGAGGAGAATCTAATGGAGCTGCAGACGGAGAGGCAACATTAGACACAGAACTGACGAGCATGAAGCTGAACACGAGGAGGCCAAGTTACCAGTGATGGTAGCAGGACAAGCTGGCGAACACTGGCATGCGGTGCTGGTTTAAAAAGCCTCCTGCTGATTGCCGTGGGAGGAGGAGCAGGTGAGATGCTGAAAACTAAACCCTAGAAGATGGAAGCTGGAACTCTTCTCACAGACAGGCAGGATGGAAGCAGTCAGTTTCCATATGTGTGACCCCTAAACTGTGCAAACCTGAGATGCTGTTTGAAGCAGTTATTTAAAGATATTGTGTTTGTAACAAGGGTTTGTACTACATATGAAATTAAAAGGGCAAAAACTGGGTTGAGTTCAACAAAATTCAGCTGAATGAAATAAATGATAAACATAACTATAACACAGCTGCATGAAACAGACTTAAAAGGCAAAGAAAATCATACAAATGTTTTTGTCTATGTGGAGAGGTCAGACTAAAACTTTATGTGGCCCGTGTTCGTCTTATTAATGATATAACCTTCTTCTTCCTAAAAGGAAACTTATCATTATCTAAAATTCAATGCATTTTATGTGCCTCTTGTTTAGCCTACAACATTATAGGCTGAGGGATGATGAAGCTCTGACTGAGACAGTCACTCAAATCATGTGGAGAAATAGTCCTGACAATGTCAGTAACTAGGATGGCAGGGAGTTAGATGACTGGAGAGTGAGATCAAGTAAAAAGAAACACAAAAATCTTCAGCTCGAAATTAAAATGCACGACTGTCTTAGATATATTAACGTCTCAGTGAAGAGCTGTCTCTTAGCTACAACGTTGTGATTAAGTGTTAAACTAAGCATGATAAAACTATACACAGACATAGAAAATGTTTTTGTGTGAGCAAAGAAAGTTGTTCTAGGAAGCCAACATATTTTCTTTGTTGACAGTCACATCTCTGTAGCAGTGCTTTTGTGGTTTTTGTGTATATGTCATATCTGTGCTCAAAGTAGAGTTGTGAAGTGAACAGGAAGTGTGGCTGCTACGCTGTTGCTGTATTTGTACTGATGTCACTGATGATAAGGCAGTACTGTAAGGAGTGTGGTATAATAGGGCCGACATAGAAATTTATTCATTTATCCTTTTGTTGTTGTGGCTCTTTTTGTCGTTCGCGTTTTGGTTGATCCTCAGCTGCATTTACCACTTTGCTTTTGCTTGATTGTAATGGAACTTAAGTAGGTCCCTCTGACCCGCTGGCAGAGCAAAGCTCCTTTCCTTCATCTCTCCTCCTCTAGATACTAATGTTCAACAGAAGGCAAAAAGGTAAATCTGGTGTTTAGAGGCAAGTAGTGAGGTATTCATCCCATTCAGCCAGAGGCTTCATCACCTGTATGTGTCAGCTGTCTCTAACCATTGATCCTCTAAGGTGGACAGTGAGTCGAGTCTTTGAGTTATCCAATTATGGTTTTAGCTACCATAACTGGATAGTGCAAGTCTCTAATTCACACCTGTATTGATGTGATCATTCGATTTTGAGATCCACTGAAATCATCCAACAATGGAGATGGAGATAACGCCCACTCACATCCTGGGCCATCTGACCTCAGGAATTCGCATGATAAGGTGGGGCCAGGTTTCACAATGAACACACCCGAAACTCTGGCTGATTGGGACCCACACCCAGTTTCACACCTTGTCTCAGGCGATTAGAGGATCATCAGGGGGTCCTTTTGTCCCTCTGTGGGGGGTTACTCCCACTAGGTTTATATCTGGGACTCCCCACCATTTGACCTTAGAACTGAAGAAGCTTCTCGGATGAGAAGTGAAACATCTTCAAGTAACTTAAAGAAGTCCAGACGCTTTTCTTTGCAAGCTCCTTTGACTACGATGACCTGGATGACTGAGAACCTTCACAGACAACAATGGAGATGAATAAAAAGTTCTTTTTGAGTCAGTGTTTGATATCATTTTATTTGTTTAGCCTTTGTTTAGACATCAGTCTTTTGGTGGGTTTTTATTTTTGTTTGTTCATTTTTTATTTTTTTTTACCAAACTGGGAGCATCTAATGATGTGCCAAATAAAGTGGCAAAAATATCTTCATTATTTTATGTGTTATTTGGATAAGGATGTCAATTTGGTTCATAATTGTCACAGATCAAGGTCAGATCCAATTTTATGACCAATTAAAATTTTCACACACTTTTTTCTGCTGCTGTACTAAATTGCACACAGAGGTGAAGCTCGTGTGACATTTATTGTGGGAGTATGGAAATTTTGCATACATATCACATACTTTCTAATAATGTTCCCCTAGCTATTAACCAACTTCAGAAAATTTCACTCATTATCTAGTGTTGCAGACGATCAACTGTGCCTGAACCACTGCAGGTTAAGCAACTGACCACTCAGCAGTCAGGTGAAGAAATATGGTAAACTGGAATATAAAAACAGCGAACCTGTACAGCTCGAGGAAACTCACTATCCAGATTGTCCAAGTTTTTGCTGCTGCAAACAACCTTTTCTGTTTCTTTCTTTCTCTTTCTCTGAGGATATAGTACAGAACTCCGAATGATATCTTCTTCCATGATGATTTATCCTCAAAAAATGGTTTTCAGTCTCCCTAACTGAAACTGGACAACATGTGAAGTCTGAATGCAAAGACAGCTCACAAGATCTCGTCTCTGTAGACAGACTCACACGTGCCATGCTGATCTGTCATGTGGCTCATTTCTCTTTGTTGTTTCAGGTGATGTTGGCAAAAGATGTAGTTAACAAATCTTTTTTGATAGATACATTGGGTAAAAATATAAGGATTATTCTTATTTAATCATTTAAATCTTATTTCAATACAAATAATTCTGATGTACTTTGCACTGAGTTTATATCTCATATGTGTTTTGCCTCTGGTGTCTCTTTGAGGTGTAACATTCACTTGTAAATAAACGGGACTTCTCACAATTGCAGTTCACACCTTTGTGACTTTTTCTGCAGCACATACATTGCTAGGGTGTGGTGTTCACACCATAAATAAAGCCTCATCCACAGTGTGATGTGTGGACAGCACGCCTTTGCTCAGTCATATTATGAATTTGTTCACATGCAGGGTTTATGTCGTGTGAGCAATGGCCTCATGTTGATTTACTTATAGAAACATAATAAATAAATGTCATAAATAAAAGAAATACTTTACCATTTCCTAGATGGCAGCAGTATGAACCCGAGTGAGTGGGGTTAGCAGCAACACGAATCAAGTCAGATCCTACTGGACCTCCTGTAGTCTACTATGACCTTCATCCACTTTAACCCCACAAATTTGTGACAAAGATGTTGTTATGATCTCTCTCTCCAGCTGTGTGTCCTCCCAGTTAGTTTGGTTTGGAGTTCCTCACAGTTTAGATTTTGTATGTTGTAACTTAGCAATATTTTTGTAACTTAGTTTCGCCGTTTGGTTCCTCAGTCTTACCTGATTCACACATATGGCAGAAACAGGAAATGTGTTTGCAAAGCTGTTGCTATCTGCACGAATTCTACTTGGTACAATACAAAAAGGGACGTCACAGAGAAATCAGGGTTTATTGTGCTTTTGTTCTCTTTGCTGTTTTTCTTGTGTCCTTTTTGGATTTTCAATAGTCTGCTGCACACAGGTGAGTAGGTAAGCAGGGCCTTGTCACCTGTCTTCTTTTTACTCCTCCTGGCATCACCAAATGCCCACCTAAGCCATGATAGTGTTGATGTGTGTTAGAATTTGGGGTCCATCAAAATCAGCATCTTGGTTTTGTGTCTTTTTGAGGGTTAGACAAACAATTAGACTTGGGGCCAGATGTACTAAACTGCTCAATCTATGTCTCACGTATTGTCAAAGCTCATGCAGCTGAATTTGTGTAGGTTCACCAGTAAAACGGGTGTTAGAGCACAGCTCATGCGATCACATTGAAAACAGTGTGTGCTGTTCATGGTCCTAAAATTGTTTGATCAGCATCTATCAGAAACTTCAAAGCAAATGAAAACATCAAAATGAAAAAGGAGCTGCGATGTCTTGTGCCTGACTTCCAGTCAAGTCTTGATCATTTTCAGGATAAGATCCAAAGTTGGTGTTGTCATCTCTTTATTTTTGTGCATACACTTCCAGTTTGTTTGATTTTTGTTTTTTGTATATTTACTTTTGGCTAAACCGTTGCTTTTATTGCTATGGTTAAAATATCATTGTTTTCTGTCCACAGCCATGTCATTTGTCTATGTCTTTGAAGATGATTTCTTTTGGAACAATTATTCCTATGATTACAACGAATCCAGAGAATCATTCTCTCCAGATCCAGATACCTTAGAATGTGGATATGAATCTTTGGAACCTACAGCAGTTGTGATCCTGTGCGTCATCTTCACAGTCATCTCTGTATTGGCCATATTCGGAAACCTGCTGGTAGGATGGGTGATCAGAACCAGCCAAGAAATTTTGGCTCCATCAGATGTGTACCTGTTCCAACTGACCATAGCAGATGGACTGCTGGCTTTAACGCTTCAGTTCTGTGTTGCAGCACTAACTCGAGGATGGCTCTTAGGAGACTTCCTTTGCCAACTCCTCCACATCGTCATGGATGCGAACTTCTACACCAGCATCATCTTCCTCACCTGCATTAGCATCGATCGTTACCTTGTGATTGTGCGCGCCAGGGAGACACTGAAGAGTCACCAAAAGATGTGCAGCAGGATCCTCTGCACAGTGGTGTGGGTTCTCGGTTGTGCCCTTGCTCTGCCTACTCTTTCCATTCGCTTTGACATCTCTACCGCATGGAGGCTCGCGATTCAGGGGTTCATTCGTGTTTTTGGCTTTTTGGTCCCTGCGATTGTCATGATCTCCTGCTACAGCATCACTGTTTCACGGCTGCTGCTCACTCACGGTTTCCAGAGGCACCGAGCCATGCGGGTGATCGTAACCATCGTGGTTGCGTTTCTGCTCCTCTGGACACCATACCAGATAACCATGGTGATAGACATACTGCTGAGGGCTGATTTGGTACAGCATGACTGTGACACGAGGAGGTCGTTAAACACAGCCTTGGTTGCAACCCACTGCCTGGCTCTGCTGCACAGCTGCATCAACCCATTCCTCTATGTCGCTGCAGAAAAAAAGCTCAGGAAGAAGATGAAGCTGCTTTTTTAGAGAAAAGACAGACGGGAAAGTATGTGACGCTCAAAATTCAGGAGGTCAACATGTCAGTAGATTGATCTGAAGGTCATAGTGATAATAATGCTATTTAAACTATGTTTCTTACTGCCGTTGTTTGTAGCAAATATTGGGAATGATTATATAAAGACTCTCAATATTTCACACTTGACCTCTGACCTCACTTTTACATTTCACATCAGTCTTTCTTTCAAGTTGACCCCAAAATCTGTTATTTTTACCACACTTTAATTTTAAAGTATGTGTAAAAAGAAGAAAGACAACGAAATGGACATACACAAAATACAACGCTATCCCCTTAAAAGTAAATGTTGCCCAGGGAGTGAGCTGCCTTGGCTTAAGTTTGGGCTCCCTGAGTGCTTCTTGCTTATTACTGTCATCATCACTAGTTGTAGTTGTACAAACTATCCAGCAGATGGCAATGAAGACCAAGAAGTTGTATAGACAAATACGTGACATTAAAAAAATTGAGAAAAAACAAGATTTAAGTGTTTATCATGCAGAATTTTCAGAAACAAATAAGTCATTCGCACACTCACACGCAGTCAACTTCCCGATAAACTTTGTTACTAGCCATTGGCTATGTTGAACCCGGCAGAGTCCCAAATGATCATTATTTGAACTTAAAGACTTGACACCTGCCCTAAATGTGTTTTCAGGCAGAGGATGAACAGAGGTACTGCATAAAGGGTCACTGTGTGATAAATCATCACACCAAGTCAATTTACTTAAATGCAGAGCTGATAATGAGCACAGCAAAGTGTACTTAAATAATTTTGTGAGTTTAATTCTTCATTGACTTTAGTTTTGTTTGTTTGTCCGATTCAATGCACACTGTTAGAAAATACTTGTAACAGGCTCTGCAGGCATTTGTTGTCAATTTTAAAGCGACGTTGATAAAATGTTGTATTAATAATTTTGATGTGTGTTTGCTTTGCTTAGGCTGCTGCCCCCGCGACCCGGCCCCGGATAAAGTGGATGAAGATGGATGGATGGATGGATGTGTGTTTTTTCTGTTTTGTTTTTGGTATATTAATTAAAGGTTCATTTAATTAACATGTTATAGAGCAAGTTATTACATATTAAATCTAAAACCGTACCCAGACGTAGAAAATGGTGTCAGTAGAGAAAGTAGTTCTAGGAAGTAAGTGCATCGCTTTTGTTTATATGCCATGTGGGCTTAGAGTAGAGAAGTGAAGCGGACATGAAATGTGGGCGTTAAATCATCGTTGTGTCTTTGATTTTCTTTGTTCTTTTCTTTCTGAGTAATCCAGATCAGTCTTTAGATCTGTTATATTTTGCCATTTTGATTTTGCAACTGTTTATTTGTGTATAACCTCTGTCTTTGTGTGTAATAAAATGAAGTAGGTCTATTGAAAGAACTGGTATCGTTTCTGTTTCTGTGAATTCTGATATTTCTGCATTGACTGGTCTGTACATGAGCTCCAAGTCAACAGTACATCTATGCTGTCGTGACCAAATGGCCCCAAAGTCACGTCTGTATTTGTGGTTTTATGGTCTTTATGGTAATCTTAAAGGTAGTCTGAAAAAATGCATTTAAGAAAGCTTTTAAATTATTTAGACACCTTTGCTCTGAGTCATTTTACGAGTACAGCACGAATGCAAACAATATATTCAATAAAAGTATGGGTTTAATGTACATGTACAAGCCACATGTTCAAGATCCACAAAGTTTATTTTCCAGAGCAATGTCATGGAATCCTTTTTATTCAGGAAAGTGATCGTGATTTTTTATTTTACTTTCCCCCCCAGCAAATCACCGGGCTTCGGTGTGCCTATTTGCTGCTGCTGGGTCTTATGTAGTTACAATGAATTAAATGAATAATAAATTAAATTTTATGTTCTTTATAGAATTTAATGTAATGTCTCTGGCTTGAGTAGCCAGCACTCGTAGAGATCATTAAACACCCGTTTTTAATTAGCCTGAAGGAGAACTCAAGGCTTAACACTGATAATAACTGATAGCTGCCCTGATATCGGTTATCGCTATATGAGGTTTTAGGTTTTGTCGAGCCAACTACCTCAAAGGAAGCTGGGCTGTGTTGAACTTCCTTCACAGTAGAAATATAACATAGAAAATAATGCAGCTTCCAAATTTTGGGGGACGTCCATAAAAATTCACATCTAATGTAAACACAGAAATAGTAAAACATGAGCAACGATTAAGGATCAAAGTTGAAAGGAATTAAACATCATGTTATGTTAATTATGTTGAGATTGGCTGTTATGGATGTAATGCAATGAGGTGTTATTACTGACAGCTTGTTGATGCTGATTCATCTGTCAAAGTATTATTGTATAGTTTGTGTTGTTTATGTTGTTATTAATGTCCATATAGAACATGTATAATGTCTATATGTAAATTGTAATAGTAATTCATATTTTATACTATACAAGGCAAACACATATCCAGTCATTAGTTTTGTTTTTTATTAAACCCAAATACATAAGTGGATCAAGTATAGCGCTGCTGCTATTAGTTGAAGAAAAACATTTCATTACTTCTGGAAAACTGATTTGTTTCCAAACCGTTCTGTTGCTGACTGACCAGGAAAAGTGGTGCTGAGAAGTGGCAAAAAGCAGGACTGATATATTGTTGTTTGACCCATGGAGAGTATAAAACACAGACATAGTCACAGTAATATCTCCCACTGGATTGGGAATCCACATTTTAAACTCTGAATTGTGGCGTTTTGGTCATCACTGTGTCATGTGGTATTTCTTGAAGCCATAAGTTGCCTCATATCGATGAAAGGCTCGAGATGAAAGCAGAAAGCTCTATTCATAAACTGTATCAGTGAAACATACAGAGACACATATATATTTGTTTTAAGTAATCGTCTAAATACTAGAATTTCAGTCCTGAGATGGTCTGTAAAACACAGATATTAGTAACATTAGCTTGATGAATTCAGGGTTTGTTTGGTATCCTGGATGTTCAGGTTTTTTTGTGATGATTTACAGAAGAAAAGTTGCATTTCCAGTAAACTATCAAGGGTCACGTGGGATGGGTGGGTGATCAAAAGTTACATAATATGAAAGGTCTAATTTTTATCAACAGTTTGATGCCACCCCTCATCTTGTAGTGATGATTTTTTCTGGGTAAAAAGAAAACAAAAAATGTGTTAAAACAATCTAATCAGTGGCTGAAATTACTGATGAGACAGTGTTCCAGATAGCTATTTTCACCTTTTTTCTAAGAAAAACACTGCAATTCTTAAAGCATCGCTGTAAATACAACTATTTATTGCCCACCAGTACAATAACACACACAGAAAGCTCTCGTGTTCATCAGCTTTTCACAGTCATTTCTGTAAATATTTGAATATTTGTGAATATTTGACAATGTTTGTAGTCTGGCCTCTCTACGCCACTGCAATGGATTTTAAAAAACAATCAAGTTTGTGATTCCAAGTGCATCTTTTATGTAAGGGGTTTAACTTAACTATTGCATTAACTCATTGGGTTTAATATATATTTGCTTTTATTTGTATCATATTTGCTTTTATTTTATTTTTTTAGCGGGGGCAGATTATTTAACCTTTATATTTTACAGCTCAGTGTATATCAACCCACTAGTCACTTCATTAGGCATGGCTATTCAGCTGCCACACAGCCACACAGTTTTTCAGCCGTGTGTGGTTGTTGGTCCGGATGGTCATGTCACACGTTTTTATCCTTGTATTTTAGCTCATTTTAATCTTTCAATCTTGCAAACATGGATGTTTTTGGAAAGATGTTATGAAATATTTTAGGGTTTCAAATGGAAATAATTTTTTGTACCAAACTCTCTGTTCTTAGATTATTTTTGAAGACTAAGACTATGGTGACACCAAAACAGACCAAACTGTTTGAAGAGTACGGCCATCACCACCATCAGAATCACCGTCACTGAAGATATAAATACTGAAGCTCAATAAAAATGATTCGTACAATAAATTTGCATATTAGCCTAAACATTTAGGTTTAACATTTAACATTTAGCATTTAGATTTAACATTTAGATTTAGATTTAAATATAATATTTAGATTTAACATTTAGCATTTAGATTTAACATTTAGATTTAGATTTAAATATAATATTTAGATTTAATATTTAACATTTAGAGTTAATATTTAGATTTAATATTTAACATTTGATGAAAAGTTACAAATATTTTACTAAATGTTGTAAAAAATTACTCGAAAAAATATGTTTTTGTAAGGTTTTGAGCTAAATGTGGAAAAATGTTGCCGTTAATTTCAGCATGTTTCACTTTACAAACGGCGCCCCATAAGCAGGACACATTTAACTTAGCTGGGTTAGTTTGCTTTGTTTCTCCAAATCTTAATGTGATTAGTTGTAAATTCTTTACTTTACAATTTAAAGCGCCTTGTGGTGACTGCTGTCATAAATTGTCACTATATAAATAAACGTGAATAGAATTAACAAAGTCAGAAAGTGCTTTAGCCTGAAACACCAGCCACAACGACCCCTAAGGTCCAGCTGTCAACTATGATTTAAGGGCTAATGTGTTGACGAGTTTAGTCTGACCCATAATTTATGTTGGAAGCAGTGGAACAGTAGCAGAGCTGAAGGCAGAACTGATCGATTCTGGAACGATGACTTCATTCCCCTTTGTACTGAGGCTGCCTCTTCTCCTTGAAAGCAGACAAGCCTTCCAAACGGTCTTTGGTTGGTATCACCTGGGAATAACAAGCCTCTTCTATTGCCAGACCTGTAGATAAATCCACCTCTATCCCCTGGTTAATTGCCAACTTTGCCATCCTTATTGCAATTGGGCCCTGGGGGTTAATCTCCCGTGCAAGCTCCAGAGCCCTCAAGTAGGCAGCATCTCCACTGTTATTCTGCTCCACAGAATGACTGACAAGACCCATTTGTTGCGCCTGTGTTCCATCAACCACTCGTGCAGCAAAGATGAGCTCCTTGGCAAGAGAGACGCCAATCACCCTAGGGAGACGTTGTGTACCACCTGCTCCAGGAATAATTGCAAGTTTAGTCTCAACTAGTCCCATTTTGGCAGTATTGGAGGAAATTCTGATGTCACAAGCAAGGGCCATTTCCAAGCCTCCTCCTAAGGCAGCACCATCAATTGCAGCAATTGTTGGTACTGGCAGGTTTCCTAGCTCTGTAATAAGGGCTCGTGCTTTGGATACAAATGGTCCCACTTCGCTCTGGTGCATCTTGGCCCTCTCCTTCAGATCTGCACCTGCACAAAATATACCAGGAACCAAACTACATAAAATTACACTGCGCACTTTTTTATTCTTCTTGATGTCCTCCACAGCTTCAAACATCATTTTCACAAGATTTTTGTTTATGGCATTTTTAGCTTTTGGTCGATTTATTCCAACGACGACAATACCGCTGTCTTCTCCGTCCAGGTATCTAACGTGCAGGTCATCCTTTGAGTCGGAGCTGTAGTATCGCGTAACAGCACCGTGACCATTCAGGCGAGGACAAAGCACAGACTCCGCCCCTTCCTCCACCTGACACACTGAAAGGACAACAAACACAACATGAGCTGTACAAAGTGTGATTGGTGTTCACAGAGCAGCATCATGTGACTCTTGTTCTGCACTAAATGAAGCGATGGAGTGGCGCCTCCTTCAGGCAGAGAAACAGCTCATGGAGAGAAATAATTATTAGAGCAAAATCAAGAGTGGAGCTGCAAATAAGGCCGAGAGGAACGCTGCAGAAAACTGTTCATGTGTGAATTCATCACTTCATAGATTTCTTTGAGCACTAAAATCAGAGCTGCTTCTATTTCTAATATGACGGCTGTACATTAGAGCTAGAACACTTTTCCTCCCAAACCCAAATGTTTTGGCTGGAAATCAAATAAAAACCAAAACAGCCACAAACATCAGACATGCTAACACTGTAACATTATTGGATGGAGCCACTGAAACTGAACCGCCATCATGAGTATGTCAGCTGTATCCACAACACCGACCTCTGACATTTGACCTGTATCTACAGCACTGACCTCTGACTTTCAGCTCCACTTGTTTCTTCATCAGGATGTTTCCCTCCCTGCTGTAGACGGTGCAGGTGTAGGTGGAGTTGTCTCCGTCTGTGGGGTATTTCAGGGTCAGACTGATGTCTCCAGGTTCCAGTAAGTTTCTCTTCATCTTCGTTAGACCGTTGTATTTATCGTCCTGTTCTTCAGGTCGGTCAGAGCCGTTCTCATACACGTGGACCTTCCTGTTGTTTGCATCCTTCCACTCCACTTTAGCATCTTTAGGCAGACAAACTGTGGTTTCGCAGATCAGCTGGACAGACTCCACCCCTGAATCCACCTCCACCCAGGGGACTGAGAGGACAACAAAGCACAACATGAGCTGTAGTAACATTTTTTAATAATCATCTGATGGCCTCCTTACAGTAAACCTACCTCTGTACTGCGCCTCAGTGCTGCATTTGATACACCAGAAAGCATTGACAGTAAAGTAATTATGCTGCTGCTGTGGTTTCTGTCATATCCATCTCATAGATTCATGAGGATTCTTCCTCAGTTACAAACGTTAGTCATGGAGTTCCAAAAGGTTCTGTACTGGGACCAGTTCTATTCAAATTATAAATCTTTCTCTTATAATATAAGAAAACAATGTAAACATTTTCACTGATATGCAGATGAAACCCATCCATCCATCTTCATCCGCTTTATCCAAGGCCGGGTCACGCGGGCAGGAGCCTAAGCAAAGAGGCCCAGACCTCCCTCTCCCCAGCCACCTCCTCCAGCTTATCCGGGGGAATACCAAGGCGTTCCCAGGCCAGCCGAGAGATATAATCTCTCCAGCGTGTCCTGGGTCTGCCCCGGGGCCTCCTCCCGGTGGGACATGCCCGGAACACCTCACCCAGGAGGCGCCCAGGAGACATCCTTGTCAGATGCCCGAACCACCTCAGCTGGCTCCTTTCGATGTGGAGGAGCAGCGGCTCTACTCTGAGCCCCTCCCGGATGGCCAAACTTCTCACCCTATCTCTAAGGAGAGGCCAGCCACCCTTCGGAGGAAGCTCATTTCCGCCGCCTGTATCCGCGATCTCGTTCTTTCGGTCACTACCCACAGCTTGTGGCCATAGGTGAGGGTAGGGACGTAGATCCACCGGTAAATTGAGAGCTTCGCTTCACTCAGGTCCCTCTTCACCACGACGGACCGGTGCAGCGTCCGCATTACTGCAGCTGCAGCCCCAATCCGTCTGTCGATCTCCGGCTCCCTTCTCCCATCACTCGCGAACAAGACCCCGAGATACTTGAACTCCTCCACTTGGGGCAGGAACTCATCCCCGACCCAGAGTAGGCACTCCACCCTTTTCCGGCTGAGAACCATGGCCTCAGATTTGGAGGTGCTGATCCTCATTCCCGCTGCTTCATACTCGGCTGCGAACCGTTCCAGTGCGAGCTGGAGGCCCTCACCTGATGAAGCCAACAGAACCACATCATCCGCAAAAATCAGAGATGAGATTCTGAGGCCACCAAAGCGAAAGCCCTCCGCCACTTGGCTGCGCCTAGAAATCCTGTCCATAAAAATTATGAACAGAACCGGAGACAAAGGGCAGCCCTGGCGGAGCCCATCACGCACCGGGAACGAATCCGACTTATTGCCGGCAATGCGAACCAAGCTCTTACAACGGTTGTATAGGGATCGAATGGCCCGTAACAATGGGCCAGACACCCCATACTCCCGCAGCCTTCAGGAACTCGGGGCAGACCTCATCAACAGCTGGGTAGCAGATGAAACCCAGCTTTATTAATCTATGAGAAAAGATAAGAGTTAAACTACCAGCATGTCTTAAAGTCAACAACCTTGATGACCTCCAGTTTTTTTTAAAATTCATACATAATTGATACATAATAATTCTTCTACTCGACCATTAAAACCTGAGAAACAGGGGGATCAATGACTGATACAAAAGGAGGAACATTTACTGTCAGCACATGTTTCCATGGCTGTATCCCAATTCAGGGTCTGCAGCCTTAAAGGCCACATTTTAAGGCCGATTACGTCACATTGACGTGACGAAGGCTGTCCCAATTCAAAGGCTGCTCGAAATGCGGCCCTCAAATTTATCCTTCATTTCCCTGAACTTCAAGGATGTGGCGGTGTAGACTTCGTGGCCCAACATATCCCAGAATGCATAGCGCGGCGATGGGTGTGGATAATTTTGCTGGGAAAAAAAAAAAACGGCGGATGAGGGCGCCCGAAGAGTAAACTTTAAGTACTGAATATTATGTCACTTATTTATGTGCAAATGTTTAATAACGAAGAACATTAAAACATTACTGTTGGCCACATGTCGGCAAAGTTATGTGACATTAGTGACGTTTGTACTAACTTGGTTTTAAAGCCTTTGCTTTAAAATATATGCCGTTCAATAGCTGAGCTTCATCTTACAGAGAATGATCAAAGCTCATGTAGAAAGAAACAAACAAATGAACAAAAGATTTTCTCCTTCATTTCTGTTAAACAAAGCTGTATGAAACGTTTCCAGCTGTTAGTATCATGGTTGCTAGGCAACCTGGGCAGCACAACGGAGGCTAGACCGTCCCATTTTACAAGCCTCGCACTTCTGGCCTTAGCGGTCTTTGAGTACGCGGCCCTTGAGGATCGTTGAGGCTGCATACTTTAAGGCTGCAGACCCTGAATTGGGATACAGCCCATGTCAGCCTGCTGTTTACCACCACAGAAGAAGAACAGCTTGTACACATGCAGCCTCTGTGTCAGATCAATGCAGTGAAGCACACACACTGTTTAGTAAAGTCATGTTGTGGAGCTGTTTCACTGATCAATGACTGAGTCTGAAGGAGGTTTTCTGACTTCTGGAACAAACCTGGAAGTTTCTCTTCAGCTCTCTGTATCAGCTGTTTGTAACTCTCAACTCTTTCAGCTTCTGGAACAAGTTTGTGTGAGCCACAGTCAAGGAGCCACCAGAGGACACCTGCTAACCATCGGCATTATGGGTAGTGTAGGAGGAGACACTCACCTGACATGAAATAGTGACAGAAATGAAATAAAAGACCTCCAGAAACCACAAGAAGAATCAGGAGAACCAGGAGAGCTTTGGCCCAAGATGGGAACCGTTCTGTGGAGAAACACAAAGAACAACATGACCTTTGACGTCTGACTGAATGTAATGATATATTTTACTGAATATACCTCAAGCCAAGATACTTGTAGTCAACATGTGTTTTCAGCAGTAAAATAATAAAGTTTTATCTGAATGATAAAACCGAGTGATCCGAGTGTTTGTTGCTGACCTTTGACCTGCACCTGTACATCGCCCAGTTTCATGTAGCCATATCTAAGGTCTGTGACGGAGCAGGTGTAGGTGGCGCTGTCAGACAGTTGGAGGTTGGTCAGGTTCAGGCTGAGCTCTCCAGTTTCCAGAGCGTCAGTCTTCATGGATGTTCGGCCGCTGTAACGCTGGTTTTGATCTTTCAGTTCGTCTCCTTGAAGCTGACGCTGGTGGACGGTTGGAGGACTGAGGTCGGAGCGACTCCACACCACTGTGGGGTCAGTCAGAGCGAAAGTGTTATACTGACAGGGCAGGATGAACGAGTCCCCCTCATACAGCTCCACAGCTGAGGCATGCTGGGAAACTGAGGACACACAGACAGAGACTCCATGAGTCACTTTGAGGTAAAGATACACCAGGTAGATATTTGTGTTTTTCTTTCCTTTACTTTCTGTACAATCTCTCACTTCTTATTTTTTATTTTTAGATTCTTTACTTTTTTGTGAATCTGCATGCTCCATGCATGTGTAACAGGTGTATTAAAAAGACCATTTGTATTTCACCAAAGATCCATCCTGTGGTGTTATTTTCATTTGTCAGTCTTGTTTATGGACATGCATATGTATATATATTTATTTTCTGTATTTATATTTTGGGAGCTTTTATTTTCTTTGTGTGACCTTTGACGTCCCACAGAGTCACTTCCTGTTCCGGTTACAGAGCGATTAAACACAGTTAAAGTAATTGAAGTCATTCAAATATTGTTTGTTCCTAGGGATGGGTACCGGTGTCCGGTGCCTGACATAAACGGTAGTAACCAGACCGAAAAGCAGCGCACATTTCGGTGCTTTATTTCGGTGCTTTTTTTTCCTGAGCTGTGATACACTTCTAGCCAATCATTTTACGTTTCCGAGGATAGTAGGCGGGCCCAGGTACGTACGTTCTTTTAGAGCAGAGCTGCAGATTAAAAATGTCCAAGGCGAAGCGGTCAAAAGTCTGGCTGTACTTCACAGCACAATATGCAAACTCAGCAGCAACAAGTGCTTTAAGCTGATACTGTGATACTGTCAAAGGAGGTAACACCTCAAATCCGATGAAACACCTGGCGACGCATAGCGTTTTTTTTAAAAGCCGAGAAATGCGCCGTATTTGATAGCTTGCTGCGAGACCTCACACTGAGCACATCTACTGCGGGTGGGTTGCCTGTTATCGGACCCGGAGTTAGCAACATCCCCCAAAAACCCGAAGAGGAGAGTCCTGGCTCCTAGCCCTGCCAGTGTAGCAGAAATGATGAGGATGATGATGGCAGCAGCAGCCGTTCTTCTCTGCGTGAGTAGTTTAATGTTGTTTGCGTGTACTTTACGCTGAGTAGGCTAACCACGTTATTACATTAATGCATGTAAGGTGAACTAGCAAACATCATCATAGCTACATGCGGCTGTCTTCTTGTTTGATGGCAGATACTCCCTTCACCCTGGCCAAAAAGGCTAAAATGACCAAAGAAAAAGTGGAAAACAGTTAAACATGAGAGGTTTTTGGATAAAGTTTGTGTTTTTTCCATTGTTTAAGCACTGCTTCCAGCCAAGAGTGATACCATATGCCCCATAGCTGCAGAAAAGGCTAACATTGTTATCTTTTTACAAAAAAACTGCTGAACATGAGAGGATTTTGGACCAATTTTGTGTTCTCCATTCTTTAAGCACCGGTTTGAGCACCGCCACCGTTTCAAAAGTACCGATTCGGATAAAACCTAAACGATACCCATCCCTATTTGTTCCACTTGTGCATTTTGTCTCACACTGTTACTATATGGTCACGATGCAGTGCATTTTAATTTGTTATATATGTTTATATGTATATTTCATTATTTTAGCAGCTTGATTTATAATGAGGTTTGTTGTGATGTCACACCTCAGTCGGCTAGAGGCCCTGCTGGGGAGAGGTGTGCATGCAGACGTCCAGTCATATGAAGTTGCTGCACTGAATTTGTTTTTATTTGAACAGTTTTGAGAGGATAAACCTGCCTCAGCTGGCAAAGCGAGAGTCAACTCGTCTCATCATTCGCATAACAAAACACAGAGAACACAGCAATCACAGTGTCAGGCCAGACCACCTACACCTGTCACTGTGCTGCTGGAACACTCACCCAGTGAGGGACAGTAAAGGATATTTCTATTCTTCTCTTTTTTAAGTTCTTTTTTTTAATTGTAAAGGTTTAATAAATATTCAAGTGTTGATTTTCTCCGTTTCTGCGCTTTGGATGTTTTGGAATAACCTTCCTCTCCATATTAGACAGGCTACATCAGTGCAAGTCTTTATTAAAAAGCTATTTTTATTCCCCCGCTTTTAATTCTGTGGGTAACTGATATTATTATTATCTTATTTTTTTTATTATTCATTCATTCATTTCTTTCTTTTTTTTTATTTTTTATTTTATTGCTATGTCTGATTTTATTACTATGTGCATACAGTGTTGGGGAGTAACTGAATACATGTACCGCCGTTACGTATTTAAAATACAAAATATGAGTAACTGTATTCCGTTACAGTTACCATTTAAAAAGGTGGTATTTAGAATACAGTTACTTTGTTGAAATAAATGGATCACACTGCGGTACTTTCCTGTTTCATATTGTGGCGGGTCAGGACTGTTTGGGTTTTGTTTGACAGCTACGTTCTGTTGTTCCAGGTGGCGGCGTTATGGTTGCCATGGTTACAGGGTGACGCTCTCTCTCTGCGTGTTTCCTGGGTGAGAGAGGCCTTTCTGTTGTTGTTGTGCTAAGCTAACAGGCAGAATGTTACAGGCATAGCTCTAAAGAATGTAGCATCATGGGCAGTGTAGTCCGTGCTGCAGGGAGAATGGACTGCCATACCTGTTATGTGTCTGTGAGCGCGAGGAGGGAGAAAAAGGAAAAGTAGAGCTGTCATCGAGCAGAAACGGGAGCTGGAAGCATGTAAATATAATAATAACTACTGCAGCCAAGAAGAGAGCCTGACGAGCCCAGTTGTAAGTAAGCTATTAAGACTCGACTGTACGCTGTGTTCGTGTTTTCCTCCAAAAACAACAAGTTCCATTGGAGCAGCCTTTCAACACCTCTCTCTGTCTCTCGCAAGCAAAGTTGACCCAGACAACAAAGTAAAGCTAGTTTGAGCCCGACACGAACCCGACATATTAGCCAGAGGTCCCTTTACTATGGTTCGGAGCCGCGGACCTTCAGTAACAGTAATAAATCACAGCAATAGGACATTCATGTAGTTGTAAAAGCATGATAATATATTAAGTAATCCAAAGTATTCAGAATACGTTACTCTCATTGAGTAATGTAACAGAATACGTTCCAGAATACATTTTGGGGCATGTATTCTGTAATCTGTAATGGAATACATTTTAAAAATAACCTTCCCAACACTGTGTGCATATTAGTATTGTACAGCACTTTGGTCTACCAGGTGTGTTTTTAAAGTGCTATATAAATAAATAAATGATGATGATGATGATGATGATTTTAGCATTTACGTGTTGAAAAAAGCCAAAAAACAATCAAACATATTGAAACTCATTGTTTTTGTTTTTTAAAGCTTCTTGAAGATGGCCTGTTGTGCCATGTCAACAACCTCATTCAGGTTTGTAACTGAGCTCCGTGTGTGGGAAAACCCTGAATCACTGAGTTCATCATGAGTACTCAGTTATAATATCAGTGCAGGCACGGGTGAGATAACCAGGTCCTGCTGTTATAAGTGTAAGTGTCACAGAAATGGCTTATGTATAAAGAAGTTTAATAGATGGCTCCAGCAGTTAAAATGTTCCTGCTTGTACATTTCTGTGGACAATATTGTAAAGGTGTGTTTATCTTGTCACAAAGAACAAGTTTTGTTACACCGCTATTGTTGGATGATTGTTGGTATTTGTGTTGCCCTCATGTCTCACACTGCTCTGATCAGCCAGTATTTTTTTAGAAACAGCAGCATGTGACATCACGTAATGGCGGAGCTTCAGTTCATCCTTTGTCTTTTTTTTTTTTTTTTTTTTTATAGGACAGGGGGAAAGAATGAAAGAAAGAGGGGGAGAGAAAGAAAGAAAACCAAAGGGGAGAAGAGACGGTGAGAAGGGGGGGAAGAGAGAAGAAAAAATAAAAAATAAAACAAACAACAAAAAAAACTCCTGGGTCACCTGTATGGAGAAAAAAAACAAACAAACAGAGGAGACAGCAAACAACAAAGAGCAACATAATAATAGGGGAAAAAAAGCACCATCACAATAAACTAGCTAGTCATAGATATCAATAGTTACTAAATAATAGACGATATTGTTCAGCACACAAGATAGACAGCGCACAGTGTGCTTTGAGGCAGCAGCCAAGAAAGCTTTAGTCCGCGTCTGTGAATACCCATGTGTACACCTGTGTGCATGCTTGCATTCCAAAGGTTTCTCCATGTAATGATCTGCTAGGGAGTGTGGGGAGCCACAGCCCTGTCCTTTATGGTATCAAGCGGGTATGGAGGAGATCAAAACTCCAGACATCCAGAGGCCCCCAGAACACAAGAGACCAAGGAAGACCAACAGAGGGGCAGCCGCGCCACTGTTCCAGTAAGAGCTGAGGAGAGTCCCAGATGAGGGGTCATTCAGCAGCCTCGGAGCAGAAGCCAGGGGGAGTTGCAGTGATGCGCCCGTGGGCTCCGCCGGCAGCCAGCCGTGCCTGAGTGACCGAGCCCCAGGCCGAGAGGCCGGGGGCACCCCACCTCCGAAATGGCCCGAGCGAGCCCCAATAAGCGGCCGCCAAGGAGTGAGCCGGTGTGTACCCGGACGCCCACCCCCAGATACAAAGAACCACCAACGCACCGACACCTGAGGGAGTCCGCCACCGGCAGGGGAAGTGGTGGTGGGTGGAGATAGGCCTCCAAACCTTGGAAGGCCCGAGATGTCCCCAGAGAGGTGGCGTTTGATACCCAACCTGACATATAGACACAAACATACAGGCACACACAGACACAAACATCCATTCCCACCCTCATGCTCTCATGTGCACTTCACACTCAACCGACGTGGAGACAGACATAAAGAGACGCTGTATACGCGATCACACTCCCCAAGCGTACTCTACCAACCGGGTCTAGGTACCCTTGCCCCTGGAGGGGGGAACTGCACCCAGACCCAGGTGGTGTTACCCTTTTCCCTACGGTGGGGAGAGGCAGACCGGCCCGACTCCACAGCAGCAGGGAGGCCCCACACCCCAGACCGCAGCCGGACGGCCAACTCCTCCTAGCCCCCCCCGCTCCAGCAGGCCGCAGAGAACGGGGGTGAGAGAAGACTCCAAACCTCCCTCCACCCGCTCATAGTAGTGTTGACGCATGTGTGTTCTAAGG